TGTCGTCACGTAGTACTCTAGACTACACACCCACCCCCCCCCACCCCCACACACACACACACAAACCCACAACCGATCCGGGAACACCTGAAAAGGAGGCTAAAATATAGAAGCAATACTGAAAACAAAAGATCCACTTATACCTCCCCAGGTTTCTCCCGTAGCAGACCTCCTACAAAGGGCCTTGCCACAGGTTAAGAACATCTTCCTGTACCGAGGCCTTCTGGGGACTGTAGACTCCTTGGTGCATCTGATGGCCGAAGGTCGCTATTGGAAGTACTGGTTTCAAACGTCTCTCAAGCTAGATTCCTTCTACATCAACAGTTTCAATGATTTGCTTGCCGCTCCTCTGTGGGAGAATCCTGTATTTGTGTCTATTCCTGTCCCACATGGCATTGTGTGGTTCTCAGTATGTTCTTGGATTGATTTGATGCAAAAGGCTCACGAGCTTACAAAGAAAGATCCGCACCAAGTTTTCCAGGCTATCCTGAGGTACGAGGAGTTGTGTAAGTACAAGGAAGAGATGGTCCTGAAAGTCATGGAGGGTCTCGGTATCAATTGTGTTGACGATGGTGCAAAGGAAAATATACGTAAGGCGTTTGAAGTAAACAGTCAGGCAGGGCATCCTCTTGCCAGTAAGGGTTCACGTGGGAGAGGGTGTTGGGTAGGAGAGTGGGAGATGGGAATCATTAGTAAGATTTTGGAACATCTCAACATGGAGATTAACGAACCCGGTTTTGTACTCAATGGAACTCTCACTCAGATCTGATTGCATTCATGTTCTAAAATGGTTTGTCGAAACGCGAAACAATTGAGTGTGTTTGTTTAAAGTTAAAACGTTTGGTCCAACACACACACAAAATTCTCTCACCTAGAGCTTTCGACCAGTCACTCTGGTCTTCCGCAGTAGACTGACCCAGTGAAGCTTTTCACGTGGCTTCTTTGAAGTGTGACGTCAACACTGAGTCAAAGGTATCTTGTAGACCCTATCACCCTACATAGAACCGCGACGGGGGCCGACATCGTCTACCAGATACCTTTGACCCAGTGTTGACGTCAAACTTCAAAGAAGCCACGTGAAAAGCTTCACTGGGTCAGTCTATCTCTACTGCGGAAGACCAGAGTGATTGGTCGAAAGCTCTAGGTGGGAGATTTTTTTTTTTGTGTTGGACCAAAAGTTTTAACTTTAAACATGTAACTACCAACACAGATGAACTTTCACGATAATTGAGTGTGTTTTTGAAATTGCATTATATATTTATCAAGCTTGGAAGAACGTAAAACCTTCATTTGTTCATAAATGTCTCCTTTGGTTTTCTCTTTCCCGGACTCATTCACATGTTTAAGGTCAGTTTATGTACTTCTGAGTTACATTTAAGTACTCTTGACAATTTGAGTTGACTTTGTACACTTTTGACTCTTATGCCGTTATGTACAGATTATGTTATGTACAACTTTGTATAAAGTTTCCTTTGATGTCTCCAGCCTGACATTTGATTTGGACTTGGATTTATGTTTTATGATTTCTGTACCTATGTTTATATGTTTATGTTCCGGTATGTTATAATACCATATGGGCTATTCATTCATGCAATTGCAATATTAACATAATAGTTTTCCAAGTATTGGTGTATGCTTGCAGGCTACAGGATATATTTCAATGCATTTAGAGTAGTGTTACAGTAAAGATATTCAAAGTAGCACAGGAAAGCGATAGACAGGAATTAATTAGGATTTTGCTTTTGTTTATAAATATGCAATCCATGCTACAGCAAGAGTACCTTTTAGAAGAAAAGGCAAAGATACAAGTGCGTTATTGTATGTATATGAAGGAACGGGGATAAAGACCTGCCCTATTATGCTTCGGTCCCAATTGAAAACAAGAAGCCATAGGCGACAATTCTCCGTGAAGTATTATATATTGCAACAAAAAGAAGTAGCCATTGGCGACAATTCTCTGTGAAGTGTGATAAATCGAACAAAGAAAAATTGTTTAAACGCGCGTCGGCTCAGTCATCTTAAGACGCAACAACCAATCAGAGATGCGAGATGCCTACACGTGACGCGGGAAGGGCGCGCGATGCCCGAAATATTTTTGCGTCAATATTCAGCGCCGTGATTCAAGAGATTAATACCCGGAAACAATTTTTTTCTTGTTTTGAACGCATTAACATGCATTTACGCTAATCTAGTATGATTCAGGGTTACTTTTTTTTAACCTGCCATGGCCAGATTATCTAAAGATGTGTGTTTTGTGTGTACAATCTATAGAAAGAGAAATGTACATCAGGTCCGATCATCCGATTTTCACGTTTCGGTTTTTGGACTCGGTTCATGAACGTATTTTGGTTTGGCTCCTGGAATGTGCAAAAAAATGACTCCCGGGACTGTCTACAGGGAACACTCGCACATTCGCGGTGTATCAGGACAGCGCGACTGGTCGTCATTAGCGCAGTAACAGTTGCATAAACGGACGAAACCATTTCAAAGAAATGGGGATGTTTCGAAAATAAGCATTTACTCCAATATCAAAACAGCTACGGTAAAAATAAAAAGACGTGCATCATCCCGGACATAATGCAACACCACATGCGAAATTACACAGAAATGCGACGTACGGAAGAATGCGTTTTGGCTGCGAACATCTTCCAAAAAACTTGGCATCTCTTAACCATGGGCAAAAACATCTGGAACCACTTATAAAAACCACCCCGTATCTGCATGAACTTTTTTGAACCCCACTGCTATTCCAAACAACGCGTTTTTCTGGACCATTCCAATTCGCCTCGTAATTGTAGGGGTGCGTCTGCGATATTACATTGACCGCGAAAGCAGCAACGGCAAAAATACACATTCGTGCATCAACACGGGCATGCCCGCAGACGGCGTATAAAATTGCGTGCCGATTACACAAAGAGAACCCAGTGTTTTGACTGCGAACATGAAAAATCAGCCGATTACAACACTCCGTCCGGAGGTCCTGACCTCCTTCACGGAGTAAAAAGGGGCCCTGCCGGGTAGTCCCCGGATTGTTTTTGGCACTTTCGGGCGTGACCCGTACGTCTGTACGTGGCCCCGCGGGACACCCTGTGGCTACCGGGCTATTTTGGGGCCCGGCGGGGACCCGAGAATAATTTAATTCTGAATTCTACCCGGGCCCCGCTGACTAAAAGAAGCCGTGACCTCACCGTGAGAACACCGAGAGGTACCCCCCGGTTGCCGGCAGTCCACCGGGACACATTTTACGTTACAGACCAGAGAAACAGAAAAAAGGTGTGTACTTCGTAAACACGGGTAAAATGTATGACGTCACAGATCGAAGGATCACAACAAAAGCGTGAATTCTGCATTACGTATAGGTCAATACAACACATCGTCAGAGAATCTGCCGGGTACCTGCCGGGTACCTGCCAGAGACCGACCAAACAGGTGATAACATTTTTAACAAAATGCTACTGAAGGAAACTTTTAATTGTGACCACGACAGACGATGCCCGCCCGACTCCTGAGCCCGACCGGGGCCGGCCGGGGCTACATCCCCGACGGGCACCGGCCCAATTGGGACCGAAGCTTAACGGGGTTGCTCTAGAAAATTCCATAACGATTCCTACGGGTTAGGAGTGAGTCGGCCCAAAGTCTGCTGGCGATCGCCGATGTCTGATACGGTTCAGCTGCGCCAGCCGAATGTTTGAACATGTTCCCACGTTTTAGTGGTGTCACTGTACTTGACTATGGCAGACGACTTTTTGAGTAGTTGGTATACTTGTACAATTAGTTGGCCGATGATTGTTGACACCATAATCACATCATAAAAATAAACATATTATAACAATACAATTACCATGAAATGAAAGAAGTCGAATGTACTTGTGTATACTATACGTTTATATAATATACAATAATAGACATTGTGTAAGACTGTCAACATGTGACCTGTTCTTAACCGAGTGGGGTAAAATGTACAACAAAGTTCTTAATTGACCATTGACAAAAATAGTACGTTATCCAATAAGTAAGGAAAATGAAATAAAACTTAGTTGTTGAGTACTCAGAAAAATAGTACGGTTCTTAATACAAACATGTGATTGGAGGCTGTATTACAAAAAAATGCAAAGTCATCCGACTGCGTATACAAACGTAACACGGACTATGTACATTCACGAGTTTCCCATCCCCAGGATGCATTGCGAAAACAGGGGTGTAAACCTCATTTGCATAGGACAGGTAGGCACCGGAATGATCCTGTTAACGTTTAACAGCTTGTTTTTTTAGTGTGTTTTGTGGGGCATCTTATGTTCAACGTTAATTAAATTACTATGGGTTGAATCTGACAACAAATAAACAGTGATTTTTTTTTAATATGTGGTTTGTAACGTTATAGTGGTAACGCTATACTGATGATGTAACGTTACAGACCACATGTTTCAAGTTTAAAAGAACACACAAAATCCATACTCTATTTGTTGTCAGATTCGACCCATAGTAATTCAATTAATGTTGAGCATAAAATGCCCCAACAACTCAAAACTCAGTGAAAACCAAGCTGTTTAACGTTAACAGGATCATTCCGATGCCTTCCAGGCCTATGCAAATGAGGTTCAGACCCTGTGTTTTCGCAATGTATCCTTGGGATGGGAAACTCGTGAATTGCATAATTACGAGTAGTAAGTTTTAGGTGCCGGCCAAAGGTCATGTTGCCCTCTTACGAAACCTACGGCCATTCCAAGCAAGATGGCCGGCTCTAGAAGTCGAGCGCCCGGTTTTCGTGCGTCTACAGCCCTCATACTTGCGGTTATCTTGGTTCTTACATGTGGATCAGGTAGGATTAGGCCTCTATTTTTTGAGCGTCTGCATTATAAGGCGTACCGAGTTGTTTTGAGTCGGTAGCCACCCTGCTCTAATGCCTTTGTAAAATCATCGGTGAAACGTACTGTTGATTCGCCCCTCTAAATCTACGAAGCAAGTTAATTATATGTTGACAAATATTTGCATTGCAAAGTCCAACACTGATTGTAAAATAGGTTAGAACGGAGACTACCGTTATGTCAGTGATCGAAGACTTAGCTTTTTTAATAGACTAGACACCCTTTGGATACAATAAACTTTTGCAAGGACAACTGAAGTTATAAGCATTTGCGGTTCCCCCATACCGACCATTATATTTAGAATAGAAAATTGACCTTTGACTGAAAATTGACTGGTATTTAATGGATCATTCTGTCAAGCAATATTTGATATCGGTAAACGATGCTCTAAAGTGCCCTTTGGCACAATTTACAACAAATTAAGTCAGATATATTTTTGGTAAGATAACGACAATGCATTTTGGCGATGTCATCAGAGCATTGTATCTTGGGCACTGTATTGAAAGGCGAACCCAAACCCCCTTTAAGGTACCCTTTTTTGATCTGGACGTAGTGGGAAACGTTCCTTTCCTGAGAAAAGAACGTCTAGCCAATTGTGCCAAGAATCGAACCAGTGACATTTAGATTCCGTGTCAACTACAAGAACATATACACTGCCTGTCCTTGGATTCTGAACCAAAACATGTACAAAACCCAAAATCACCCAGCAATATTTACGCGCGAAACATAATTATAATGGTTCAGCTTTTTTGATCCAGAGCTTTGGTAGTGCTCACAGTTTTCACATGTGTTATGGTTACATGACCTTCTTGACAGCTTACAGTTACTGTTTCCATTGCACAATAATAAACCATTTAATATTATGGTAACTGAGAGAAATGCAAAGTCACTATCACACATGGTTTATGTCTGAGTCGCCAAACTCTTGTTTGACAAGGGAATACAACGTCCATATCCCCCATACTAGATGCCGCTGTTGTCTCCACCACCCATGGTGACGTCAGAGGGTCAGAGTTCATGACCTCCGGTGTTGTCGGAAATGCCGTCTTTGACCGAGTTTTCACTTTCAAGGGGATTCCTTACGCCGCCCCACCTGTAGGGGACCTCAGGTAGGGTGTAATATTTCTGTAAATTGAACACATGCCGTGTTTAAGGTTAAAACAATTTGAGTCTTCCCCAATGACCCTACTTTCTTTGACCCCAGGGCTCATTCACTATACACTTAGGAGAGGAGTGCACTGTATTTTTCTAGACTTAACAGGTACCAAGTCTTCCTCAAAATCATGAAATGATGGCAGTGCAATGCAAACAATAACCCTAACAGCAACCACCGTCGCCATGGCAATGTATGTTTTCATTGCCAGTCTTGTAGTATATAGATAGGCAAGACAAAACCAAATGTAAAAAGTCTTTCTTTGTGGGAAATGTTGCCTTTTTGGAGCTGGATGTTACAGGTAAGGGATCTTTAATTTTTATTTTGTTGAGAAAACAGACTTTCGGCCATGTTTGAAACGTCCAGCACAGAAAATAAGATATATGTTTACATGCATTGCTGTGCTGTCCATGGGAGGTCAGAGGTCACCCTCCATTGTAAACAAGGATTTTAACGATGTTAGGTGCGTAGGATTTTGAAATTTTGGGCTTAATGGACAGTTTAGATAATTTGCTACCCACTAGATGCCTATTTCCTATTTCTAGGCTGTGCCCTGATAGGGTTTTTAATGTCGTTTAGAACTGGATTCCTTTTGCCGCTAGGTGGCGCCCTCCCCAGGACCCCAGCAGCTGGACAGATGTTCGTGACGCCATAGACGTCGGGCCCAGATGCCCCCAGGTCGAGTTTCCATCGCTTGATCAACCGATCTACAACGCGCTCTTTGAGTACCAAAGTAGCACCACTAGTGAGGACTGTCTGTATCTGAACGTGTACAGTCCAAACATTTCTGCCACTGCAAACATACCTGTAAGTTAACATTGTACAGTTCATAGAGTTATTACAGTTTCATAGATGTTCAAAAGTTATACAAATATTCAAGCCGGGGCCCGGCTGGGCTGTTTCGATTAACGGAAAATCAACATTTTATAAGTATAACATAGTTTACGCAAAAAATTACCGTTATTTTTTGGTACAAATTTTTGTCAACTTTTTCGTGCTCTGTTGTCTTTTTTGTATCGTGCGTTTCGTTCTATAAGACTGTCCGGCCGGGCCCTGGATTGGAAATGTGACCCCAGCATTAATTCAAACAAATTCTCTATATCCTCCATAGCTCTACATGTAGGTAGTTCTTCAAACTTACAGCATGTATCCTCACAGTTATGTTGATTGAACTGTACATGCTGTCTTATCACGGTGGTCAAAATTGGGCCCCGATCTCCCCACCTGCAGTAGAACCCGAACCATGTTCGATCTGACGTAATTCGAATAGAACATGGTTCGAAATGGGGTCACCCGCGGTCATTTACAGTAAACCTGGGTCTTCCGGCCCATTTTTACATGTGTACCTCCTAACAGAAAAAATCCACCTTTTGACAAATATAAGCCATTTCCTGGACAACTACATGTCTGGCTTCATTTTGTAGTGGGCTGGAACATGAAACGAAGCTACTGCCGTTATCGTGGGTGACCTTGAAGATCGCAATGCTTGTACTCGCTAGCCTAAATAAACACTAGTCATATTCGTGCCGTATGACATGCGTGCAAAACTCGTTTAAGATTGGAAGCATGGAGAGTCCAACATATGTCATTGACGGCTCAAAATGACCGTAATGGGTTTGTCCAGAATCGTGTCTTAGGGATTTTCGAAAAAGGACCTTGATTTTGAATTATGAGCAATTGAGTGCGAAAACTGTCAAAAAAATGCCGTTTTTTCACATTTATGTCGCCAAAAACTATACTTCAAATAAGAAATTAAAAAATTCCTAAGACACGATTTTTTATCTTATTCCTAGTCGTCGAAAAATATAAAAATCGGGGATTTTGGGTAACATACGTAGCCAATCTTAAACGAGAAAAATCGTCTTTCGGAGCGAGAGTTTTCAAAATTAGTAATTTACCGTAAACAACTAACATTAAAACTATGTAAAGACGATAATTTCATTTTATTCTGAAGGAATTTACCCTTCAATACTATTTGTTTATTTTCAAGTGTTTTACGGGTAGTCCAAAACAGGCCAAACTTGCGTCTTGTAACCTGATACCTTTTCGAACCCCCCTAGCAATGGGAAAGAATACCGTAGTGACAGACCGCCGTGTATGTTGATGCAATCACTGTTCTATGATGTAGTGGAGCAGATAACATCAAATTTTGGAGGAATCTTTCAAATTGTAATACAAGCACCAAACTTGGTACAAAACGTCATGAGACATTACTCTTTTGAAAAAGTACGCGGGCCACTTGATTTGACTTTTGGCTTTTTGGTACTGCAGCCGACCTACCGGGCTTTGTATCCCCTGTTCTAAACATGCTACAGGCATGATTTTTAAATGATAGAAAGATGTTGGGGTAAGAAAGAAGTGACGTAAATGAAGTGTCTCTAGCAGCTTGCGTTGGAACTGCAGAAGCGTTTTTTGCCGGTGCACAATTTGCTCTAAGCTGCAGTACCAAAGTCAAATCAAGTGGCCCGCGTACTTTTTCAAAAGAGTAATGTCTCATGAGTATTTGTACCAAGTTTGGTGTTTGTATCACAATTTGAAAGATTATTTCTGTTATCTGCCATACTAATGAGTAAACTACTGGCTGACTTACTAGTAGGCGATGAATTTGCATATTATTACACCGCGAGTAAATTGCACAAGCGGCTGCGTTCGTATCTGACAGATCGCTCATAAATGTCAAAGATAATGAAATAACCTTTAATTTTCGCTTTTAACTTACACCAATGCATCGATAATCATTTTTCTAATTACAACGTATGAAGTATAAAGGTTTCGTATAATTATGCAGATTAGATCCTTATTTGCATAACTTTTTCAGTTAATTCTAATTAACACCAAATGGCAGTCTTACTATAACACTGAAGGTCATTCTAACAACTTCTTATAAATTATGCAAATCATGCATTTTAGGTGATGGTGTGGATACATGGCGGTGGTTGGACAGAGGGAGCTGCCGACTCCTACCCAGCAGAGATCCCCACGTCGCTCAATAACGTCGTCATGGTAACCATTAACTACCGGCTGGGTAACCTGGGCTTCATGCCGACTCGGGACGACGACGCACCGGGCAACTTCGGTCTTCTGGACACGGTTAGTGTAGTTGCTATCCCTTGCTTTACCAAGAAAGTAGACATTAGGCCGACATAACATCGACCATAACCCTTGTCTTGCTGGGATTTTTACACAATATTTTCAAATAGTTTTAAGTCTTAACAAGGAGTTCAGAAAAAAAAAGGAGTTTAGAAATCGCAAAGCCCATTCAAAGTGTATGCTATCTTACTTACTTAGACTTAGTTCCTACCGTGCATTGCACATTGGGCAGCAAGAATCCTCCTCTCTGCTCGGTCTTTAGCCAGAGTCTCGGCATTCTTCAGCGACACCCCTCTACTCTCCAGACCTTTTGGAGGGTGCGTCGCCATGTTAGATTGGGCCTCCCTCTTTTCCGGTTGCCCTCTGGTTTCCAGAACATAGATGTCATGGCATGGCGGCCTGAGGTCATTCCGAGGACATGTCCAGCATTCTTCATCCTCGCCTCGTTGACAGTGATGCTGAGTGGTTTTGTACCAGTTCTGTGGTATGCCCCCTTTTAGGTGATCCTGTCTCTGTATCTTATGTGTAAAATTTTACGTATGCTATCTGCATATCTAATATTCCAATAGCATTTAAAGTGCTAATGCCAACAAAATACGACGTTATCAGATTCTAGTTGACATAACTAAGTTACCTGGATAACAGATACGTTTACAATAAATATGTACGGTTCTCCTGTTATATTCGGAATTTTAATTTTCTTGTTCGTCTAACTGGAAATGTGGAAATGCCAGCACAAGCCTGTCCTAGCAGACAATTTGCATTATCTATTTTTTTAAATGCATTTTTTCCTGAGCTGACATCACATCAAATCAGAAAAAAGCACAGAAATGCAAAAATAAACATAGAGATGCAGAAAGAGAGGCCAGAGGCGGGGGATTGGGAATCTTGCCAGAGCATCTCCAACAAGAGTTCCGAGATCTCATACCTCCATGAAATACGGGCTTGATATGTAAATGTAAATTTCTTCTTTAATTACGCAAATGACCTCTGCATTAACATAAGATATGCATCGTGATGTTAACTTTTGATTAACTTAAAGATGTCCCAAGTATGACATTCCCATCATTCACCATTGAGAAATCATAGATTTTTTTCATTAATTATGCAAATTAGGTCATCATTTGCATAATTAGTATATGTTGATGTTCCATCTGCCATAGGTTACATACATTACATGTATGGAAGTTCTATAATGTAAAACACTGTAATTATAGAATTTCCTCATTAATTATGCAAATAAAGTCCTTATTTGCATAATTTGGACTTATTTGCTTTCAAAGATTTCGCCCGAAAGTCCCCTGCAATTCCTGAACAAGCTGCTAGGGGGACCAAACCCACACCACTTATTCCTGACAGGAAAAGCTATCTGTCACCAAAATTCAAGACCATAGCATGTTTAGGACCAAAGATACAAAAACCGGAAGTTCTGCTGCAGTACCAAGGTCATCCACCAGGAAGCCCATATTTGACCTTGACCTTTGTCTTCCTAAGACTTATCAGCATACCAAATATCATCACAATCCATAAAGGAGTTATGAAGTTATGCTGACTACAAAGTTGCGGAAACACACACAGACACACACACACGCAGACACACACACACAGACACACAGACAGACGCCGCCAAAAACAATACCTCCTTTTTTCATGGAGGTAAAAATGCACTTTTGGATGCCCGTACAGACTCAATTTCTCAGTAAACATGATTGAAAATTGAGGGTACTTTGAAGCGTAAACTGGTTTTAACCATAAACCCAACACTGTCCTGTCACAGATAAAGGCCCTCCAGTGGGTTCAAGCGAACATCAGAAACTTCGGAGGAGATCCCGACAGAGTCACAATCTTTGGTGAGTCGGCTGGAGGATATTCCGTCTCTGTGCTGGTCATGTCTCCCCTGGCAAGGGGCCTGTTCCACCGGGCCATCTCTCAGAGCGGCGTGGCGGGAGTTCCAGTGACCCAGAAGGGTGACATCACACAAGCGGAGTTCCTTGCTAGAGGGGTAAACTGCACTACGGCCAATTATAATGACATGATGAGCTGTCTGCGAAGGTATGTTCGAAATTTCATCGTTTAAACGTTCAGTGCAAGTGTTTTAAAATTCGTAGTGCAACGTCCTATGTGTTTAAACGTCCTGTGTGTTTAAACGTCCTAATAAGTATGTGTTTAAACGTTTAATGTGTTCTAACGTTCAGTTTGTTCAAACGTGTGTGTGTATGTGTTCAAATTTTCAATGTGTTCTAACTTTAGTACGTTCAAGTGTGTGCATGTGTTCAATTGTTCAATGTGCTCGAACGTTTTGTGAGTATGTGTCTAAATGTCAAATATGTTCGAACTTATAGCGTACGTTTGTTTAAACGTTAACTGTGCTCAAACGGTCAGTATTCATATTGCATGTTCTGTGTGTTTTAAAGTGCACATTTTTAGAGCATAGGAGGTGTGTCTTTAAATGTTTAATTCTAAATGTATCATTTCCTTCAATATGAAACATTTTAATGCTTTAAAATCATGAATAATATAAGACACTTTTACTTAATCAATGGTATCAATGATTTTGAAGTTTTCTTTAATAATACTCCGTACATAATACAGTGAGTGGTTATGCAGTGCCTGTGTGAACTTGTATTCTGAGCTGAGATAATCAACACATCGGTTTTTCCTAATAGTTTACCAAGCCAGGACCTCACGACGATTATGGTTCAGACAGTGGTAATCGACGGCAGGTTTCTGTTACAAAGTCCTTGGGTAAGTTTGTTTCATCATTTTACCTCCAAGTACAAAACTTATGACAACGTTTTTTTTGCTCTTTTATCACAATATTCTTCATATATTGCTAGGCACTTTAGCCTGAATACTGATTCTGACATCGGTATTTTTCCTTATGTTGTTCTTAACGCTGGTGATGATGGTTAGAAGTGGATATAGCCACTCGTCCTCAATGAAAGATAATGAGATGTAAGAGATGTTAGTTCCCTCAGGAAATAATTTAGTTTATTGTGAACAATTTATTGACAACGTCCCGTCGATTCAGCACTAGAGTCTGTTTATATTATCATCATTTTTTACTAATAAATATATTCATTTATTTATTTCTTCATTAATGGTTGGGTAGCCCATTCGGTCTGTAGGAACTGCTTTCTAATGGAGCCAGTATACATGTATATTTACATATGCCAAGACATGGTTATGATAAGTCAAGCAACAAAATCGGACAACTAGTAAATAATAAACGGTGCATCAAACCAAACGGAGGTCCATACATCAAAATTGTTATAACGTTGCAATGAAACACAATGTGGTCATTGAATGACGAAATATAATCATAATGTCGTTATTTAATGTCATTGTATATATTGACACAGATTTTAATTGAAGCATATATTGGCAAAACATGGTGACAACGCACTTTTATAAGAGTTACTTAAAAGTAACTCTTATATTCATGTCGCCGCCAACACATACATGTAAGACAATACACAATGCATAGGACAAGCAAAGCATAAATTAACATTTCAAAATTAAAGGAAATAACCGTAAGTAAGCACACATATACAAGGACTGACAGGACTGGTATACCAAGATACTGAAAAAAATGATTGGATTCTAACAAAAATGTATATCTAGCAATATTTTAATGGTATAACGTTTTGAAAGTAGAACTATTTAAAAGTAAGTGTATTAAAAGATGTACCCTAATCTTTCACAGAATCTGATGAACCACAAATTCATGAACAGGGTAGATTACCTCCTGGGGACCAACAATGACGAGTTTGGTTATCTCCTGGCTGCCTACTACCCGTTTATTGACGATGATGGGATGACCATGGCAGAATTCCAAACCAACTTGCCGGCTGATCTGCAGCAGTTCGTCAACCAGTTCCCGGTAAGTGCCCAACCTGACACCATATAAGTACCAGAGTTATCAACCAAGGATTGAGGTGTTCAAGAATTCATTCTTTCCTACAACTATCGCAGAGTGGAACTCACTGTCACCAAGTACAGTAGGGGCACTGTCAATAGATAGCTTTAAACAATGTCTAGAGCTAGAAGTTCAAGGGTTAGGTGTAACAAGTCGATCGGTGTAATATAGCCAGCTGCCGCCGCGCCGCGTGCCTGCGAAGCTGGTGTGTTACGCCGAAAGGCGGTTATACCGGCTATACAGATACAGATACATATTGCCATTGGCCGTTGCAAAATATATCTCTTTTTATTAGAAAAAGGCACACGATACATTGCAATTGCGCATCTTAGTCCAGTCGTATTAGTATTATAACAGCTCAAGGACCAATAATGAATTGTTTAAAGTTAAAGCTTTTGATCCGACATAAAGAAATTCTCTTAACTAGAGCTTTTAATCAGTCACTCTGGTCTTCCTCAGTAGACTGACCCAGTGAGGCTTGTTACAACGCTTCGATAAAGTTTGACGTCAACACTGGGTCAAAGGTGTCTTGTAGACCATGTCGCCCCCCGTCACCTGACGCCATATTGCCATTGGCCGTTGCAAAATATATCTCTTTTTATTAGAAAAGAGCACACGATACATTGCAATTGCGCATCTTGGTCCTGTCGTATTAGCATTATAACAGCTTAAGGACCAATCAAGTTTAATCCGACACAAAGAAACTATCTCAACTAGAGCTTTTGATCAGACACTTTGGTCTTCTTCAGTGGACTGACCCAGTGAGACTTGTAACTTGGCTTCGATGAAGTTTGAGGCCGCAGAACACAGTATTTATGGGCGAACCCCGTAGTAGTCCGGGCATAAAGTAGTGCTGCACAATACTAGAGAAGGGTGCAGAGATTGGTCTGTGCATGACGTCGAGATAGAACCTGTGGTTAATGTTAGAGGAATACGTCAGTTTTGAGACTGTAAAAGTTGAATTATGGTGCGTGTTCGGCCGGCGTAGATTTGCGCTTGGATACTTGTCCCGCCTAGTACTGTGCGTCGACTGCAGTTCCATGACATCCGCAGTGGCGCTAATAAAAGAGAACGAGCCGGCAAATTTAACCCAATTTTCACATATTTTGTACACTATACCCAGAAATTAAACATATCAAAATTCTGAACCTAGCTTGTGCACCCTACTATGATTTTCAGTGAGTCGAAGTGAGTCATTTTGGGGTTCTTAACTATAGAAATAATTAATTAATTAATTATTTGAGAAACACACACACGACACCAACATCAGCTATTTTTGTTATGACCAGCATTTTAAAAGCATTCCTTATAACTAAGTTGTACTTTTTTGCAGGCTGCTGGTAGCGTCGACATGATTCTCCAGCCTGTTATAGACCAGTACGTGGACCCCAACATGGCGGACGATCCGATCTACCTACGTGGCCAGTTCTTGGAGCTTCTCACGGACATGTATTTTATTTCACCTACAACTATGATGGCTCATGCACAGGCAAGCATGCCAGCAGTAACATGGGAAGGTGAGAAGGTTTTTATTCTTATTGCACATCCAGTACCTTCCCCACCACTCACATCAACGCACTAAGGTTTGCGTTTTTAGCGGCAATCTTTCCATATTTAAATCACGCCTACTTCTTAATACAAATTGTAACAAATTTAAGTTAAATGTGAGACAGATTTGACTGCAACCCAGGCCTTGACCTCTTTGAACCTACATGTGCGCCAAGTAACACCAGTCAATTAGTCTTCGCTCACGACCCAGCCTCCGATTCGCTTCATGATGTTTTCAACATTTTCTAAAACATTTGGCTGTCGTAATCGAACAATAACCAACCTTGAATAGCAAAGTTCTTTGATCACAGGCTCACGGCCATCTATTTTTCAAGAGCCGACGTTTCGATGGCCGTCTGTCATCTTCATCAGGGCAATTCTGACTGGTTTACTGTGCATTGACGCTAGATGTTACTTGGTGCAAAATTAATGGTTGGTGATCAAAGAACTTTTCTATTCATTCGTTTATCAACCTGATAAAATCATTTAGAATAACCAAACTTATCAAGCACTAGCCGGCATTGCCCCCGACATCTTAAAAACATGTCGCATCGTAATACAATACGTCAGATGAATTCAATTATATTCTAAGGGGAGGTATCCAATACAGTGTTAAAAAAGAAAAATACATTCATGTTTCAAATAAAGTTGAAAGTTGAAAGTTGAATCATGTTAGAGAATAGTTAAACCTTTATGCTATCACTGATATATATTCTGTATGTAATTTGTTGCATACATATATTCTAACAGTAGGATGACGTTATCCATACAGGTATTTAACTTTGTTAGATCTTTGGTTGTAGAAAACCATACAAAAGTCACTGTACTTCTTCTTGTGTCAATAAAGATATTTTGTCTCGTAATCCCGGGATTTGGAAACACATAGAGATCTATGTATTGCTTTGTTTCGTTTTTCAGCTCAACAGGTTTACCAGTACGAGCTGCAACACACTGCCTCGGTCTTCTCTTTCCGTCCACCGTATGTACACGTTCTTTTTCTTGTTTTTTTTTTTTTTTTGGGGGGGGGGGGGCTCCATTGGTGATTTTGAACATGGAAATGTCAGGGAATTGATGATTCTACTGGGTAGAGATCCCGATCGGATTTTCGGATAACACAAACAAACTTTTGTCTTGTTATCTGGACGTCTTACAAATTCTATACATGTAGTATATGAGATTTTAAAATTACCCCTTGTGCTTGGTAAGAATTTGAAAGAGTTCGGACCCCTTGCAGAGTATTCTGGAACAGCAGAGGGCGTCTATTTTGACCACTTGAAGAATCATGAAGAACTTAAGAATCGATGATAGATTTTTTTTCGTTACAAGGATAGCTTTGTTCTTTCTATTTCATAGTTTTTCACTTGCTGATGTCATTTGCTGTTCCGTTATTTGTTAACGTTTTTTCCTGTTTTGTTAATTGCTGTTTTGTTATTTCTTGTTGATCGTGTGTCAGTGGCAGCATAAAATTATCAAATTCCAACAGTTGTTTACCACCGTTTCTTGTGCTTTTCTTTGTTGTTTACCAGTAAAAAAATACGTTATACTTTACGTATAGTTACACGAAGGTTGACCACACAGACGACTTGTTCTACCTGTTCGGGGTCCCGCTCCTGCGTGACGACAAGGGATCGTACTGGAAGTACGGCTTCACCCAGGAGGAACGGGACCTGAGTCTGGACATGATGGCGTACTGGGTCAACTTCGCCACAAACGGGTACATAAATACATTTGTTATGGAGTAAACGTTTGTAGTGAGATTTGACTCAATTGAAAAAAAAGTAGACCTGATTATTTAGCACATTTATTTAGCTTGTATTTGAAAAAGATAGTAAAAGACGAGTAAAAAGTGTTGCTAATGAGTAATTTGTACTTTTAGCCCAATAAATTATCATATATTAGCGAAAAATGAGTTAACACCCCTCTAACTCATTTTTTTCACTAATATCACTAATAAGAGACCTCATACAACCTTTTAATAGTGGAAAAATTAGTTTAAACCACTCTAACCAATTTTCTTCCATAATAAGAGACTCATAGAACCTCTTACTAGTGGTAAAATGAGTTAACACCCTTCTAACCCATTTTTTTACTAATAAGAGATTAAAAAAATTAGAGGGGTGTCAACTCATCTTTTCACTAGTAAAAGATTGTATGAGGCCTCTTATTTGTGAAAAAAATGAGTTAGAGGGATGTTAACTCATTTGACCACTAGTAAGAGGTTCTATGAGTCTCTTTACTATCTTCTGTGTGTGTGTGTGTGTGTGTGTGTGTGTGTGTGTGTGTGTGTGTGTGTGTGTGTGTGTGTGTGTGTATGTGTGTGTCCTTTCGTGCTATTGTAGATGTGTTAAGACCTGAATTAACTAGAAATTTAGCAAAACGGTTAGTCGTACCATCATGGGCCAAAAGCTAACGATCTTCCCCCATCAACCTCTGCCTGGAGAGTACCCCAAAGTGCTTCACTTGCCAATGACAACCTGACCCAGATGTACATTAGGCTGTTATACATTAGGACGTTGTATATTGACATGTTGTACATTAGGATGTTGTACATTAGGATGTTGCCCTAATGTTGTACATTATTGAATTTTTCAGTATTCAAATTAGACGTTTATTTGGTATTAATGTAACTCGTACCGTAAAGTGACATCATGTTGGTAAGTGATTCAGTTACCACAGAACGCAAAATACCAGGCACAGGTACTCTGAGATTTTGGATAGATATATTGCGGAGGAATATAATTTCTGATTCTTTGTTACTTTTTACAGAGACCCGAATGACTCCGAAGGATCAGCGCGCGTGCGCGACCTTGTCCACTGGCCACGTTACACGTCTGCATCCGGGTCCTACCTCCAGCTGGACGTGACGTCATCTGCTGACGTCAGGCTCCGAGAGTCCCGGATGAAGTTTTGGAACGAGGAGGTGCCGAGGCTGCTGGGACAACATGTCCACGCCCACCGGGCTGATTTTCACGATGGGGCCTACAAATCTTCCTGTAGCCTTCTTATTCTGGCGTCTACACTACTTATCTACTATCTGGTGGCCTGAGTAGACTACTTACACAATTTCTATCAGTCAGAAGTTGGTTGGGCCTTCTCCACGAGAGCTATTCTTAGTCAATTTTGGTTAATGTTAACTCATCAATTTAGCCTTCGGGCTGCAACTGTTATGATATAGTTGATGTCACAATAAAAATATTACTGGAACATTTCATCATGCACTGCCTCTAACGTGAGAAAACCAATCCCAGAACTATCAATATGGGAAAATATCTTCTATCGTCGCTAAAACAAGTCCCGTTCATGCTGTTGGCATCAAGAATTCTCTGTCACTGTGAAAACAAGTTATTACAGTCTCCAACACTATAGTAACAGACAGTCATTTGACATTATATGTACAAAATCCTTCATCTTAGAGATGTTTGCCAATAAGCTTTTAGTAGCCTATCATTGCTAAAACTGGTATGAGCAAAATTGTGCCAGGCTAACGCCACATTGATGTTATGTGATATATGCCTGTGTTTTGCTCCTTTAGAATTCCTTGTGAGAAAAAAAATCAACAATACTACCTCTGGATTCGTGCAATTGCTTCCTTAAATTTTAATAAAATTTTCTTTCCTTGCAAATGTGTTCTTAGTGTGACATATCTCTATCTAGATTTTCTCGACGAAAGCATCATGTGCTTGATATGCGTTAATATGAATGTCCTTTGTTTTTGCTCCTTGGAGGATTGGTAAACAAACACAAGGCAATGTTTATACGAAGTGATATGTGTGTAAGCTAATATTTTTATTTAGATAGTATTACGTAATCGTTAGCTTAACTAAGGTATGTCAACTACCAGTACGACCAGTGACCCTCAATCACAAGCCCTGTAACTTGACTGGGTCAATGACCTGGTGAACAAATGCACAGTCCGTTGCACAACAATCCATGTGCAATGACGTGAAGCTGTTCTCAGCTGTCAAAAAGAGAATAGCGTGTCTAAGGCTTTTGAAGCGTCTGTAAAGGAGTATAGTTTGCCACTCAAAACAGTCCTGTTAAACCTTGCTTTTACTCGCTGTGCGTGTTTAGCCTTGTTTCTTGCAAATCCAGTTTAGGCCACAGCAAGTAAATTTTATGGATGACATCCTCCGCAGACTCCAAATCCAATGCGAGCGGGCGAAAAAAAAACAAGGCGGACCGGAAAAAACAAGGTTTCTATATTTTAGAATTTTGACTCAATCATTGTACAAATGGTTTTGATTCAGTGGGAACATCAAATATACACAGCCAGCATCACATATCGCTGCATAAAAGTAAGAAACAAAACATTGAATCAGAGCCTTTCCTTGCCTCCCCTCTTCATAGTTATCTGCCATTCACGTTCCGGCATGGCAACAGACATCATTGCCCATTTTCGGCATGTTGACAACTGTCAGAAGGCAACAAAATTTCTTGTTTTTTTTTTTCAAAATCAGGTGAAAATTAATGCGCGCGCGGATGTCATCCATGAAAATTACTTGCTGTGGTCTTAGTCTTAATTTTCAGCAGTTCTGTTTAACCATTGTCCTTTTCGGACAGTGATCGTGGTATTTGTATTGGTAAGATAGAAGATACGAATTTTATATTTTGTTTGAAACTAGACCAGTACGTACCAGGATTCTCTTTAATTTTGAAAACAAGTATCCAAAACCATGGTAACAGACAGTTCTCAGTTTGACTATGAATGGCACATATTATTAAGCATCGATCAACAGGATTATTTAGGACGATTTACCACATTTGTGGAAGGATTGACATAACAGGTGACTATCACCTTTTCAAAGATGTCAAACCTGAGACCAGACTGTAATGTTTGAACCACTCACACCGGGAAGGTCCCCTACTCTTTTCGATAAGTGTGGTGGGTTCTTTAAAGTGCGTGGGGTGTGGCTCTCCCAAACACGGGACCTCCATTTAACGTCCTATCCGAGGGATGTCCCTAGCCGAAGCTAGGTACTCATTTTCACCTGAGTAAAGTGAGGAAAGCCGTGTAAAGTACCTTCCCCAAGGGTACGAGTACAACGTCGCGGCGCATGTTCGGACTTGTTCGGGTACGACCCGGAATCGTACCCGGGTCTCCCCGTTTTATAGTCCAGTGATGTACCACTACACCACACGACGCCCTCCAAAATTAATGATTCCAATTCTGCTGCTGAGATAGAGTTTTGTAAATTAGAGGCTCGGATGGTGGAAGGGTTACATAGGGGCTTTACGTAGCCAGTCTAATGACCATAGACCATGTTTACAATTGCCTAAAACATGTACTATATGTTTTGCGTAAATGCACCATTGTTTTACTTCCACCAGACTGGCCTGTAATGTTAGGAGAAAGCAGTATGTACCATTTTTAAAGTCTTTGGTATGGCTCGGCTGAGGATCAAACTCACGACCTACCGAATTCAAGGTGAGCACTCCACCCACTTTGCACCGACTAGTACGGTTACCGTAACATGCACCACGTAAATATAAATTCTGAAGACCTGTTGGCCTTGCGGTCATTGCACCTTTACCCTGGTGTTCATACGGTCATTGTTCATACGGTTCATATGGTGTTCATACGGTCAGGGACATTGTTTGAATAGTCGCATGGCTAAATAATGTATATATGCATCGCTGCACGTGAATAGTGTGTTATTGATACGTCAAACCGTGGACTGAGCAAGTATGTTTTTTATCGTGCAACCTCTACCAAGATGGCTGGTTGGTATGCTAGCTCCCGATGTCTCCAAACCTATCTGCTCTTCTCAGCAGTGATTGTGGCTTTAACACGTGGATCAGGTAAGGCTTGTTTTGTATTAAAACTTTACGTTACTGGTTCACTGTGTGTACTGGCACAAGTGAGGTGCCACAGTTCACTGTGCACGCGCTGAAGCTATGCATGCGTTACATGGATCACTGTGTACTGAAGCTTTGTGTTACTGGTCCACTGTATACTCTATGTCAGGGCCTACCGGTTCACATGTGTACTGAAGCTAGGTGTCACTCTGTATCAGCTGTTTACTGAAGTTAAAAAAAAGGCTTGTTCTGCATATGTAGTAAATATAGAATACTACACGGTGTATTCTGTATCGCCCTAGGTACCAGTCCGACCCTGACTCGGCTCTCCGAACGGCGGAAGGCCGAAGATTTAGAAGGAAATAATTTTCAACATAAGGCGGTCATTTTTGTCCATACAAGCACGGAAGTTTAAGTGGCTGTTCCTTATTGTTGGTATATTAACGTACGCACATATTTTTTTACGTGTGTGTGTGTAGGGGGTGGCTCTATTTGAAATTCATTTCCGAGCCACTGTCTTTGTCTAATTGTGGTGACTAACTTTCATGCTTCCAAACTACGCTGCATGCCCATGCAAGTGTTCCCTATTTTAGCACCGATACAGAGGGTCGACCATTATAAAATTCATGATAACAATGTTCTCCAAGCACACGTAAATTCCTGACTGGTAAGAAGTGTGTGAAAACAACACGTTGCAGTTAAAAATCCAATCTTCACACAGGTAAGGTGGCAGTGTCAAGAGTTTAAGTATCTCTTAACTGTGTACATAACATCGCTTAACAATAGCTGTGGTTATCAAATGATGTTGCCTTGTATCCAGTTTTGTTTAGCCTTGGTTCTTAGCTGTCCTGTTTAGCCTTGGTCCTGAGCAGTCCTGTTCAGCCTTGGTCCTTAGCAGTCCTGTTTAGCCTTGGTTCTTAGCTGTCCTGTTTAGCCTTGGTCCTTAGCAGTCCTGTTTAGCCTTGGTCCTAAGCAGTCCTGTTTAGCCTTGGTCCTAAGCAGTCCTGTTTAGCCTTGGTCCTTAGAAGTCCTGTTTAGCCTTGGTCCTTAGCAGTCTTGTTTAGCCTTGGTCCTTAGCAGTCCTGTTTAGCCTTGGTCCTTAGCATTCCTGTTTAGCCTTGGTCCTTAGCATTCCTGTTTAGCCTTGGTCCTTAGAAGTCCTGTTTAGCCTTGGTCTTTATTTAAACAGGGTAAAAACCTTAGTGCTATTTAAAACCACTGCTTTTCAAGAATGCCCTGTAACAAAAAGTTACACATTAAAAAATATGAAATCGTCACATTAACTATACATAACGTTACAAAATAATCAAGCGTCAAAACAAAATCGCTTTTCGTAAATCAATGTCGTTAAGCCGGGTCAAGGATAGGAGGTCAGGGATCAGCAGTGTTGCTTTAGAAGCTCCCTAAACAAAGGATTGAAGAAGGTGCATTGCTAACCGACGGGCCCGTAATGTTTTAATAATCGCTTTATTACTCCGTGAAGGAGGTCAGGACCTCCGGACGGAGTGTTGTGAACGACTGCTTTTTCGTGTTCGCAGTCAAACCACTGGGTTCTCTTTAAGTAATCGGCACGCAATTTTATACGCCGTCTGCGGGCATGCCCGTGTTGATGCACGAATGTGTATTTTTGCCGTTGCTGCTTTCGCCGTCAATGTAATATTGCAGATGCACCCATACAATTACGAGGCGAATTGGAATGGTCCAGAAAAACGCGTTGTTTGGAATACACGGCACAAAATCCCTAGTTTCCGTGTGAGAAATTGCCGCACACTTTCCCGGATATTTTAGGTTTCCGGTAGAACCCGGGGGTTTCCGACCTGCACACGAAACGTGTCCAGTCCCGTACATGTCCTGTACACTCCCGGAAATGAACCACTTTTTGTGTGCAGGTCGTGTACTGGACGTTATATGCCCGGACACGATCCCTGTACATCCCCGTACACGGCAGGAAATGGCCGTGCACCGCTCCGTGCGTTGCTGGAATATGCATAATTTAGCGGCAATTATCACCTAATTATTCTCCACACGGCAGCGGAAATTCGCCGTGTACGGGTCGGACCACTGCCGGTACCTACACCCCCCCCCCCCGGCCAAAACCCGCCCCGCTCTCGGGACCGGTTGCTCCCGTTCCCGGGACCCGTTGCTCCCCATTCCCGGGGCCCTGCTGTTCCCGTTCTCGGGACCCCACTGCACCCACTACGGGGACCCCCCTTCCTGCTCCCGGGGCTTTGCTGCCCGGCTCCCGAGAAATCGCTTCCCCCGCTCCCGGGACACATTTCGATGTTTTAGGAACACATTTCATTCATAAAAAAAAGTAATACATGTTTATACTTCATTCATCGTTTTATTGGTATAAACAGGATCGCCATTTACAGACTGACAAAAATAACGCTCTATGTATAGTGTATACACGTTATGCACTATGCTAACACTATACAATAATGTAACCTGGTACTTTACAAAAATGTGTAGCCGAAACATAGAAACAATAGCTTTTTCCCGAACTAGACTTCCAGGGACTAGACTTTTAAAATCGTTGGACCCGGTGTAAACTCAGAAATTACTAGTAATTAACAGATTTCTCTAACTTTAAAAAGTAAACTAACATCACATCTCATCACAGTCACCTCCAAATAGAAGTCCATTTTAGCAAAAAATGTCAAAAAGTAACTAATACTGACATATCATCAGGTTAAAAGAGGAAAATAGCCCTCAGATCATGAAAGTGAATGGCGCTTACTCAAACAGTCAAAAGACTAAATTTTCAATAAACAAAGAAGGCCTCAAACAAAGTTCTTCAAAATACATGTACGTGTAGCAAAAACATAATTGCAGACCTAACGTGAAGTTAAATGAGGCTTGGCAGAAAACAATATCACGTCATTACAAAAAAAGATCATTTGCTCAGAAATTAATTACATGAACACGTATTCAATTTACATTGTCGTTAAAGACAAGCTGTCGGTTTCGTAAAGTTTGCGTTGTCGCCTCTACAAAATGAGGCTTAGTTGTACATGTAGATTGAAGGCCAGGAGGTATGCCCCCCCCCTTGCTTCAGGGGACCATAGCGAAATGTTTTCATCCTGGAAGGACAAACTGCTCCATGTCTGTCTGCGGGATGGCGTGGTGTTGGTGTCGGTTGTGATCGCAGTCAGGCCGGAGCGGCGTGCTGGGCGCGGGGTGCACCCCGGGCGGGAGTGCAGCGGGGCCGGCCTGGGTCGTCGGAGCCTGCCGGGCGCTTTAACACGGCACCCTCGCCTTTAGATCTGAGCCTGGGTGTGCAGTCTGCCTGTTTGCCTCCAGCCTGGCCTGCAGGACATGGAAAAACGAAAATCTAAGTCAAAAGTCGAAGGCATTTTTGAATTTCATTTGAAGTTACGTGTACATGTACTAGACGTTTTATAAACAAGCCTGGCAAAGATGCGGACGTCTGTATGGACACATTTCGAGGAGAAGTCATTTATCATTTTTAACGAATGTTTTTTAACGTCAGACAGCAACAATTTTGTCCAGGTGAAAAGGCTCCATTCATCAAGCATCAACGTCTACCTGTTTCTTTTCATTGTAATCATGGGAACAATACAAACACAACATTTCCCTCGGTAATGAAAACAATTCAAATTGTCAAGAGCCTTGTCGGCCTTCGTATGCAAAGATATACATTTGCATAGACTCACCCTCTTCTGTGTGACTGCAGTGACCAGTCGCTTTTCTTTCTTTCTTTTCTGAGCTCTCCGACAGCCTGGCGATAAAGTTTCTTCAAATCGTCTCAAAGTATCCCAAATCCGCGCCTGAAAAAAGTACATATGTTGTGAGCAACATACAAACTATATCGATGTACTTCTAAGTAGAAATAATAAACTATGTTATTAATCAGTAAAAAAAATAGTGTACACTTCTTGCCAAAATAAATATTTCTGCCGGGAGTGTAAGGAAATATCCGGGGCCGTACACGCGGAGCCCGGAAATCCATGGACGCGACCAGGACACGGCGAATTTCACGGGCGTGTGCGGGACTGGAAACTCTTGGAAACGTGGTTTTTCAAGCAGTGATAGCAGTGGGGGGTGGAACTTCAAGCAGACGTGCGGAGGGTCGATAAGTGGTACCATAGATGTTCGCAGCCAAAACGCATTGTTCCGTACGTAGCATTTCTGTGTAATTTGGCATGTGGTGTGCCATTATGCCCGTGGTGATGCACATTTTTTTATGTTTACCCTAGCAGTTTTGATATTGGAGTCAATGCTTATTTTTTAAACATCCCTACAATGTCGTTGAAATGGTTTTGCCCGGGTATCTGACCGGCGGCAGTAACACTCGCGCGTGCTGGCCGCAACTGTTGGACTTTGGCATGGCCAGTCTCGCTTAATAGGTAACAGGCACGGTAAGACGGTGGGGCTGTCTTTGTTACTAGTGACACGACCATGATAGATAATGATAGTCCGATCTTTATGTGAATGCAATGATTGTGTGTGTGTAAATAAAATGAACTTCGAGCTTGAAGCACAGTATCTTTACACGCCCTGGGAGCAGTAATGGATTTGGGTCTTTTTATGTTTTATCATTGTGACGCGCCCTCATTGTATTAACCGTTGCCTAATGTCTGCACAGTAGGTCTGGCGTTGACGCTTGGGATTATTTTTGTTGCAAAATATAAAATTTCACGGAGGATTGTTACCTATGGCTTCTTGTTTTGATTGCTTTTAATGTACTTTTTAAGTGTACTTTTTCATCGATCATGTGTATTGAAACACGCAGTTCAGCCTATGGCTCTGATGTGTTTGATAAATTAAACTTTTAATATCATTTCATATGGTTTCCCAGACGTGCACTACGTACATATACATTCTGCCGACCGTACCTGCTGGCCTTGCGGTCATTGCACCTTTACCCTGGTGTTCATACGGCCAGGGACATTGTTTTGAACCGTCGCTTGGCTAAATAATGGGTAATTGTTTAAATAATCGCTTGGCTAAATAATGTATGCATCTCCGCACATGAATAGTTGGTTATTTATACGTCAAACCGTGGCCTGAAGCAGGCGTGTTATTTACCGTGTAACCTCTACCAAGATGGCTGGTTGGTATACTAGCTCCCGATGTCTCCGTGCCTTCCTGCTCTTCTCAGCAGTGATTGTGGCTTTTACACGTGGATCAGGTAAGGCTTGTTATGTACTGAAACTATACGTTACTGATTCACTGTGTGCACTGTTACAAGTGAGGTGCTACCAGTTCACTGTGTATTAAAGCTATGCGTTACATGGATCACTCTGTACTGGAGCTATTTGTTACTGGTCCACTGTATACTCAATGTCCTACTGGTTTACAAGTGTACTGAAGCTAGGTGTTACCGATTCACTGTGTACTGAAGTTTAAAAAAAGGTTCTTATGCATATGTAGTAAATGTAGTAAATATACCATACTACACGGTGTATTCTATACTGCCCGAGGTACTAGCCCGACCGCGGGTCGGATCGCCCAACGGCGGAAGGCCGAAGCTTTAGACGAAAATAACTTACGACATGAGACGGTCGGTTTTACCATACACGTATGGGAGTTTGATGTGACTGCTCCCTATGTTTGGTTTAGTAACTAACGCACACATTTCGGGTGTGGGGGTGTGGTGGGGGGTGGCGGCTGTCCCTCTCTTTGAAGCCTTTTTTCCGGCTAAGTTTCAAACCTTCAACCTATGGCCGCATGTCCATGCAAATGTTCTCCATTTTAACACTGATACAGAGGGACTATTCAAGAACGATGTTCGTCAAGCAGTGTTCAAATTTACGTGTTAGGACACGTAAATTCTTGACTAATGATTTTAAAGAAATGAGTGAAAAAAAACGCCGTAGTTAAAAATACAATATCCGATATAGAGGTAAGGTGACAATGTCAACACTTTTAGTCTCTGTGAACTGTGTACATAATAACGCTAAACAATAGCTGATCAATTGCTGTTGCCTTGTATCCCGTTTTTTAGCCTTGGTTCTTAGCCCCCAGAAGCCCTGTTTAGCCTTGGTCCCCAGAAGCCCTGTTTATGCTTAGGTCACATTTCAAAACCGGGGCCCGGTCGGGCTGTTTGTACGAACGAAAAATTAACTATTCTTATCAAGAATATAGAGAAATAGAGCCCATGATTGTTATTAAGAATTTTTCGATGTTTTGTTGTCTTCTGTATCGTAGTTTTCGTTCCCAAAAGCTGCCCGGCCGGGCCCCGTATGGGAATTGTGACCACAGCATTAGCCTTGTTCGTTAGCATTCCTGTTTAGCCTTGGTCCTTAGCAGTCCAGGTATTGTTTCTTAGCTGTCCTGCTTAGCCTTGGTAATCAGCAGTTCTGGTAAGCCTTGGTCCTTAGCAGTCCTGTTTTAGGCTAGGCTTGGTGGAACGTGCCTTGGGTTATTCAGGTGACGGACAAAGATCGCGTACGTTTGTTTGCTGAACAACACGTTCTTGACAAGATGGCCGGTTGCTATAATACTAGTTGCCGGGGTCTCCGAGCGCTTTGGGCTTTCTTAGCGGTAATTGCGGGGCTTAAAGGAGGATCGGAAGTGTTAGGTTTGTATATTTTGAACGGACGTTGATCTTTAGCATTTGTTTTGACACATATTTAAGACAAATTTCATCTCTTTTCAAATTTGAATTATTTTTACGAGCAGTTATACAACTGGGGCTCGTGATAAACCGATCGTACCTTTTATGATTTAATAAAAAAATTATATTTGTTCCCCCATCTTTGAACTGTTTCTGTATGTAGCCTGTTGGGTGAATACCGGGTTTGAATCATGGCCGTTGCCTAGGCAACCAAAGGGCGTTTGACCAAAGGCAATACAGAAAATTGACCTTTGATCAGTCCACAGAATAAAATGGTAGTAGAAAGAAGTTTATTGCAAAGAAAATAAACGTGCAAATTATGATCTATAATTGCTCATTTGCTTGTGTTATTAACATTTTACAATACTTTGTTTGCATTAGATGCCGCTGTTGTTTCCACAACCTATGGTGACGTCAGAGGGTCAGAGTTCATGACCTCCGGTGTTGTCGGAAATGCCGTCGTTGACCGAGTCTTCACCTTTAAAGGGATTCCTTATGCCGCACCACCTGTGGGAGACCTAAGGTAGTGGTCTTAAGAAAAAAGGGCAATATTTGCCAAGAAAATACAATTTAATACTCTGATGGTCTAGTCTACGAAAGTACTGTTCTGCTTATTCTTACTCACATTTATGTATATGTTGAACAGCCTGTCTGGCCACATGAAGCATAATGTAATCCAACGTAACGCCACATGGTGTCTGCTACAGCACCAGTTATCATGGTAACAGCCGTCTGGTCCAGGCCATTAACCTTATTTGAACTAAATAAAAAGAGGAAGAAGAAACTGAGAAAAACAATATAATTTCTTCTGCTAACTAAGAGGTAAATATAGATAGCGAAAAGACAGATAGAAATTATTGAATGAACTTTTATTAAGATGATATGTCGGTTAAAAGATAAGATGATTTTGATTGATGGTTAGATGCATGGATGAATGGGTAACACGACTTGCAGATTCTGTTATTCCAACTATCTTTGCTAGGTGGCGCCCTCCCGAGGACCCTGTCAGCTGGACGGCCGAACGTGACGCCACCGAATTTGGGCCGGTTTGCCCCCAGAATCCCGGAGAGGGGCCGGAACCGTACCCCATATTCCAGGAATTCGTTGCTCGCAGTAACTCCAGCAGCGAGGACTGTCTGTTCCTGAACGTGTACACCCCAAGCGTTTCCGCCAACGCCAACCTACCTGTAAGTACCATCGAACACTTAAATGAAATATAAGAAGTCGATAACATGTTTTTGCAGTTTAAAATTTCTTGGATAGATAAATGGATATGTGGATAAATTTGAAGTTGGATTGATGGTTGGATGGGTTAGTTGATGGTTGGATGGATGGTTGGATGGATGGATGGATGGATGGATGGAGAGGTGAGTCGATGGATGAATGGGTATGTGGTTGAGTCGATTAATGGATAGACGGGTGGGTGAGTCGATGAATGGGGGGATGGATGGATCGATGGATGGGTGGGTGGGTGAGTCGATGGGTGGATTGGGGGATAGACGCCTGAGTGGGTGGGTGAGTCGATGGATGGTTGGATGAACGGGTGAGTGAGTCGATGGGTGGATGAACGGGTGGATGAAATGATAGGTGGATGGCCATGGATTGATTAATGAAAGGAAAAGCAGATACATGTTTGGGTGACAAAATTAACGGATCAATGAAGATCGTCAATCAATATCCTTCATATCAGACAGTCATATCGGACAGTCTATCAGAAACATACAGCTCTATCTAATCCAGGTGATGGTGTGGCTACACGGCGGGGGTATGGTCCGTGGCTCTGGCGACGAGTATCCTGCCGAGATCCCCACGTCACTCCATAACGTCGTCATGGTAACCATCAACTTCCGGCTGGGTAACCTGGGATTCCTGCCGACTCGGGACGACGACGCACCGGGCAACTTCGGTCCTCTGGACACGGTACGATCTTTTTTTCTTGCTTAAGGCCGCACAACACAGTATTTATGGGCGAACCCCGTAGTCAAAAGTAGTTCGGGCACAAAGTACCGCTGCACAATACTAGAGAAAGGTGCAGGGATTGTTCTTTGCATGGCATCGAGATGGGATCTGTGGTAAATGTTAGAGGAATACGTCGGTTTTGAGACTGTAAAAGTTGAATTATGGTGCGTGTTCAGTCAGCGTAGATTTGCGCTTGGATGCTTGTCCCGCCTAGTACTGTGCGTCGGCTGCAGTTCCATGACCTCCGCAGTGGCACTAATAAAAGAGGGCATGAGAAGAGAACTAGCCGGCAAATGTAAGCTCATTTTCACATATTTTGTACACTATACCCTGAAAATAAACATATCAAAATTCTGAACCTTGCTTGTGCACCCTACTATGATTTTCAATGAGTCGAAGTGAGTCACTTTGGGGTCCTTAACTATAGAAATCCCCATAGGGCTAATACTGTGTTGTGCCGCCTTAAAAACACCAAAGAGATTTCAGAATAAACTTGCATTTTTAGAGTGAGCCTACAGCATAGGGAGTCATTTTAGGTGGTACCCATATCGTAAATTCCGACGCATGTTTTGCGGGGTCATTTTGATGGTTGGGAATCGGTTAGATTCAATATGGCTACCATGAAGATGCATTGTGGGAAGGAAGGTCAAAGGTCAGCAAAGGATTATGGGATGAATGGAAATAGTGATACGTCATGCTACTAATCTTCTTTAGCATTGTCATCAGATTTTTATTTCATATCAATGATACACAGCAGCAGAAAAAACACTGTAAAGGATGTTCCATGTTAGGGGATGGTATGTTCAGCACCAAGGACAGTACAGTGAAAAAATTTCAGTTTCAGTCTGAAAGAAATGCCATAATAAAATCACCAGGAAAAATGTCAAGATTTAAATAAATTTGATTGATATATACAACATACAGTCATTTATTCAATGACATATAGAAAATAAAGGTTATAACTATCTACCCCCACATCTTTTAACAGATGAAAGCCCTTGAGTGGATCCAGGCGAACATCAGAAACTTTGGAGGAGATCCTGACCGAGTCACCATCTTCGGCCACTCTGGTGGGAGCTGGGGCGTGTCCCTGCTGGTCATGTCTCCCCTGGCAAGGGGCCTGTTCCACCGGGTTATCTCTCAGAGCGGCGTGGCGGGAGTTCCCGTGACTGAGAAGGGTGACCTCACACGAACAGAGACCCTGGCTAGAGGGTTAAACTGCACCACGGCCGACTACGATGCAATGATGAACTGTCTTCGAGGGTATGTTCAGTCCATGTTTTAGTTGTGAATTCGATTCAATTCTAGTTGTTTATTTCAACAATTGGTGCTCTCAGGAAATTCAAACTCTACAACTGGATAAATTATGGATAATAATTTCCGACCATTTTGAGTGACACCCACCACTATTCATCAGCGTCAATGATGAACTGATGGGTGTCACCCAAAACGTCCGGAAATTATTTCCTGTAATTTATCCAGTTTGAATTTCCTATGAGTTTTGTTTACCTGGATGTCTAACCTTCATCAACGCCATGCCCGTAGCCAGGATTTTTAATGGGGGAGGGGGTTCTTCCCACTGCGAGCGCCGAAAGCAAGATTTCTACGGGTCTGGGGGGCAAGCTCCCCTGGAAAATTCTGAAGAAAATTAACCTTCTAAAATGGCATTTCCTGCGATATGATTTCAAAGAAGAAAAACAGAGATCACTTTTTAAATAACAAAGTGAGCAGTTTTATTTACGATTCCAGCCCCGCTGGAAATACGAATCAATCCATCTTTAAAACGAAGGTCTTGGGCTTTTAGTTAAAAAGTGGACCAAAAAGTGTACCTTTGAGCCCTTCGGGGAGTTCGATTCGTCCGGCATGATCAAATGATGTTCATCGTTTGTTTGAACACAGTAAACCAAGTGAAGCTGTAAAGCAAGGAGCGGCCATAACAGCAGTCATCGGCGGAACATTTCTCCCGGAGAGTCCATGGGTACGTGTTCCTGTATTTATTGTTCTATATTCCATTCATTTGTTGAGTTTTCAAATAGTGGTACATCACTGGACTATGAAACGGGGAGACCCGGGTTCAATTCCGGGTCCTACCCGAACAAGTCCGAACATGCGCCCCGACGTTGTACCCTTAGGAAAGCTACTTTACACGACTTTCCTCACTTACCTCAGGTGAAAATGAGTACCTAGCTTCGGTTATGGACGTCCCTCGGATATGACGTTAAATGGAGGTCCCGTGTTTTTGAGAGCCACACCCCACGCACGTTAAAGAACCCACCACACTTATCGAAAAGAGTAGGGGACCTTCCCGGTGTGAGTGGGTCAAACATTACAGTCTGGAATTAGGTTTGACATCTTTGAAAAGGTGATAGTCACCTGTTATGTCAATCCTTCCACAAATGTGGTAAATCGTCATAAATAAATCGTGACCGTTGGGCTTTCAATGAACTTTTGGTGGTCTCCAAGGTTTTACAATGATCAATGTTTTTCGGTCGCTTGTCAGTTACCAAAATCGTGTCAACTATCCAGAAGGAGCACATAGTTCCGGTTAATGTATTAGACATAAATTTTGCAAATTTACGCAAAATTTATTAGCTTTCGATACTGTACACGAATTCCATCTTCAATCAAGACGTTTACTATATTACATTTGCCGTGTTTGTATATCCAACAAAAGTTTGAAAAATAAAACTAGGCCTCTTGCTTAAAGGTATCGTTACAGAACGACCCCCCATTTATCCAATCAATCATTTATTCATATTCTTGAGTTTGTTCTTCTTTATTTGAAACTGATCGAAGTTTAGTATACGTAGTATCCCTTACAACACATACAGGAATATAAAAACCTTAACCCAGTCATGCCACTACATATACCCTCGATAAGAGTATATAAGGTTGTGAGTGTTGAATTCTACGTTCTGTGTCTTATTTTGATCGACATTTAGGCCACACCGATTTAATTTTATGGATTACATCCGCGCGCGCATTGATTTTTCGCTTGTTCTAAAAAAAAGATCACGTCGAAGCTCTGGCCTGGCTCTAGGCCTAGGCAGTCCATGGTAGTTAGCGACAGTACGGAGCCGGGCACCCAGGCTGCCGATGCTTCATAACTCAAGAACTCAGTACAGTGCCGATTTATAAATTCGGCTTGTCGTATACGTCGCTATTCGCTAAGTACTGCCGCGAATTCACAATAACAGCTTTGTATTCCTGTGGTTAAGTAGCATTTTTATTTTAGGCCGGAATTTTTTTATTCGCCCGCGCGCACCGGTCTTTAGAGGATGTCATCCATAAAATTAAGCCGGTGTTGCCTTACTATACATTTACAACGTATCTTACACAGGACCTGATGTTCAAGAAGGATATCAACAATATTGACTATCTCCTGGGCACCGTTAATAACGAGACTGCCTTTGTGGATGACGATGGGTTGTCCAGACAGGAATTCCAATTGCAATTGCCATTCAGTTTACGCCGTATCACCGCCCAGTACGTGGTAAGTAAGGGACTTGATCCTATTTACCTTATATAAAGCTATTTACCTATATTGTATAGAAGGCTACCTGTATGTGAAAGAACTTGTAAATATGGTAATGCAAAGGCTGTGGAAGACGAAATACACTTTATCTCAAATTGTTCCTTTCATAGCAACGCTCGAAATGAGCTAACTATTCAAACTTCTACAATTTACCCCAATTTTACTAAACTTACAGACCAAGAAAAAACTATTCTTCTTTTAACCTCCCAAAACCCACTAATCTTATAAAGGTGGACATTACGTCTGCCATGGTCTAAAACAGAGAAGTCAAACCCCTTAGACATAGTTTTAGACATAGCTGTAGCTCTAGACAACTACCTTTTATGATGTAGATTTTAGTTATTTTATACTACGTTTCATTGTTGTTTTATGTTTGTATGTATGTATGCAATTAGCCCCCCGGGCATGAATTTTCCAAAAAAAAAAAACTTCTATAAACAGGGGTGCCAAAAGAATTCATAGGAATGTTACGGAATTCATATAAATGTTACGGGATTTATACGAATTTTACGGAATCCATACGAATTTTACGGATTCTATACGAATTTTCATTATTTATTTCATTTTTATTTATTTATCCAGGGGTAGCTTATGGCCATGGTTTTCAACGGTCCCTGCACAGAATTTTAGGGAATTCATACTAATTTTTTACGGAATACATACGATCCGTTACGCGGAAATACACTCAAGGTAGCACTGAACTGTTTCAATAGTCCAAAAAAACACAACCTCGGTCCATGAAATAAAACTTTCTATTCGAGGCATTAACATTGGATTAGGTCACCTTTCTTGTCTTTATTTTGATTTTTGGTTATTTGTTCATCTAACCTCCAGGGTGGGACGGTGGATGTGCTCGTTCAGCCTGTGACAGACCAGTATGTGGATCCGGCTAGGTGGGACGACAACATCTACTTAGGGTTCCAATTCCTCCAACAGGGCACCGACTCCGTGTTCGCTGCTCCGACCGTTCTGATGGCTCAGGCCGCAGCAGGTTTTGTTTATTTGTTTTTTTTTATTTATTTATTATAATTTTTCACAAAGTGAAAGGGAGGGCAAAACAGGTGCATACGCACCTTTACAAATTGCCCTCCCCCATACAAAGACACATATACAATATCATATACAACATCAAAATTTACATCGTCAATAACAAGTAAAAAATACATCAATATAAAAGGTTAAGCATAATTCAAATACTGTATATCTAATAAGTAGTTATAATATATTGTGTTGATAAAAAAAGACTTAGTGCGGTCGAGAAGCAATACAAGAACTACACCCACAAGAAGTGGTCCAAGTACATGGCAGATCAAGACTGTAATCTGTTGTAGGTGGCCTTCAGTAGTTTATGTTTAAATGATATAATATCCGACTGATGAGCTGCTCGCTCATCAGTACCGCGGAGGTCAGGGCCTAGCTTATTAGAAAAGCCTAGCCTAGGTTAGAAAAGATCCTCCAATGAGCAACAAAACACTCTGTAAAAGCTGCAAATGCATTTCTATATGTTAGTTTTCACCTCCATGAAGAGGGAGGGGGGGGAGTGATTGTGGCATGTGTGTATGTTTGTGTCTGTTTGTCCTCACGTTAGTCTATCTGTCTGTGTCTGTCTTACCGAAAAATGTGTGCACAGCTTAAAAAAGACATTGCTGGATGAATATGATGTTGACACGGTATTTCATAGGTGGATTAGGTGTTGGTCAAGGTGTAATTTGGGTTTTGATGCTGCAGCAGAACTTCTGGCTTTTGTATCTTTCTTTTTGATTTGAAATACTTGTCTCTCAACCTTTACCCATAATGTATCCCTTTTGCGCATTAGGAACCCAATCATACTTAAAAGGGCAAGAAGAAGGCTAGTCTGTAGAGTTTGCTTTTCCGTACTCAATGTACTCCTGATGCCCTGTTATCAATCCGTTTGAACGATATCTGCCCTTTAACCCCTCCGAAGCCTTGAGGTTATGTGGCGTAGTGTCAGCGTGTTCGACTCCGAACCTTAAGGTCCCGGGTTCGAGTCATGACATGCCACCAATCTTGTGCCCTTGGGAAAAGCTATTTACATGACTTTTCTCACTCAACTTAAGTGAAAATGAGTATTGTCTGTCCAGTACAGTACTTGATTCTATGTGTGGGACACAACACCAGCAACAACTGCCTATGTCCCACTGTTGCAATTTCAATAAATCCAAAAATCCAAATCCAATCCAAGCCAGATTGAGGCTAATAAAATGCAACATGAGCTTTCGACCAGTCACTCTGGTCTTCCTCAGTAGACTGACCCAGTGAAGCTTGTCACGTGGCTTCTTTGAAGTGTGACGTCAACACTGGGTCAAAGGTATCTGGTAGTCGATGTCGGCCCCCGTCGCGGTTCAATGTAGGGTGATGGGCCCTGATGTAAAAATTGATTCCTTCACCCCTTTGTCCCAGTGTTGACCTTTGACCCAGTGTTGACGTCACACTTCAAAGAAGGCACGTGACAAGCTTCACTGGGTCAGTCTACTGAGGAAGACCAGAGTGACTGGTCGAAAGGTCTAGGTGAGAGAATTTGTTGTGTTTGACCAACAGTTTTAACTTTAAACATGTAAGTACCAATACAGATGAACTTTCATGACACTACATGGGGTTTGTTTGTCCCTACACAGAGCACGGCCGAGTGTATCAGTACGAGTTCCAGCGGGATTCAAACGCGTTCTCCTGGCGTCCGTCCTACATCATGGCGGACCACGGGGACGACGTGTTCTACACCTTCGGGATCCCGCTCCTGCGTGACGACACTGGGACCTCCTGGAAGTACAACTTCACCCAGGAGGAACGGGACCTGAGTCTGGACATGATGGCTTACTGGGTCAACTTCGCCACAAACGGGTGAGTTACTGTATACAGTAGTTACTGCAGTTACTGTAGCTCCTGGAAGTACGGCTTTACCCAGGAGGAACGGGACCTGAGTCTGGACATGATGGCGTACTGGGTCAACTTCGCCACAAACGGGTGAGTTACTGTTATACAGTAGTTACTGCAGTTACTGTAGCTCCTGGAAGTACAACTTCACCCAGGAGGAACGGGACCTGAGTCTGGACATGATGGCGTACTGGGTCAACTTCGCCACCAATGGGTACGTGGATTTAACCTGGGTACCGTCTTCAGTATTTACCGCCAGCTCTATTTCTTTGAAGTCTCTCTGAACAATTCGAAACTTTCAACGAAGTTGTGGGGTCGTATGGCGTAGCGACAGAGTGCTCGACTCGGAACCAAGAGGTCCCGAGTTCGAGTCCTGACATGCCACCGATATTGTGACCATGGGAAAGGCACTTTGCACGAATTCCTTCACTTCGCTAAGGTTAGAATGAGTATTGTATTGCCCCCTAGGTTGGTGGCGGCATTAATATGAAAAGACTTGAGTTGAAAAAACTTGAGTGTAAGTCACCACGTCTTGTGATTAGATGTTCGAATATTTAAAAAAAAGCTGGGGAGCAGCCTGGTAACTAAAAAGGTTTAGGCCACGCCCTCCTTTGCCCTTTCGGTACAAATGGAGTTAAAGTTGAGATATATATGAGTCAAGTTTGACTGCCAACTACGTCCGGCCGACTCCTAAATAGGAATCAACTACTAACGAACTTCCCGTCTACACCAGAAGGTTCTGGTTTGGGATTAAAAGAAACATACATTGGTCGTAGAATAATTATGCCTTCCCTGAATTGCGTAATGTTGTAAGGTTACAACAGTCGTCTTTACACAGCTACAACGTAGAATTTGAAAGAAAGTGTGGAACTATTAACATAACAATTTCAAATATATTGCAATAAAGTAAGAACAGTAAACCAGTGACCAGGGCTAATAAGACAAAGAGATACTCACTTGTTAAAACGTATAATTGTAGATTGCAAGAAATGTCAATCATTTTTTTTCATTCCAACATTTCATGACCAAACATGGTGACGGCACACTCAAGTAATATAAACTTATTTAATGCCGCCACCAACACAGAGTACAAATACAGGAAACTGCAATACCCATTTTCAATTGAGGTACTAGTAAGTGAGGAAAGTCGTGTAAAGTGCCTTTCCCAAGGGCACCAGATCAGTGGCATGTCAGGACTCGAACCTCGACCTCTTTGTTCCGAGTCGAGCACTCTGCTGCTACGCCAAACGACCCCAAGATCATTAAGTTCTTGCCTTGGTTTAATTTCTGCTAACCTAATAAATAATTTTGGGTAACCTTGCAGAGATCCAAACGACTCTACAGGAGCAGCACGCATGCGCAACATGGTTTCCTGGCCACGCTACGTGACGTCATCTCAGTCGTACCTCCAGCTGGACGTGACGTCATCTGCTGACGTCAAACTCCGGGAGGACCTGATGACGTTTTGGAACGAGGAGGTGCCGAGGCTTCTGGGAAAGAATGTCACACGTGTTGGCTCTGGTGGTAACGGCGGGCCGTCGTGCTCCAGCCATTTCATACTGGCGTTATCATTGGTTTGCGGCCTAATTACGTTAATCTAGAAGGCCTCCCATTGGCCAGGCCTGCTACAACCTTGGCAGCAAACACCGCTCAATCAGCCAGATCGTAAATAGTTAAAATAGGCGACAATAGGCGTTCAATAGGCGACAAAGGTTGTGATTTTGAGAGCCTTAAGTTTGTTTTTTGTTTGTTTGTTTGCTTGTGGGTGAGTTTGGCTTTATTATGTAACCAAGAAGCTATAATTGTTCAGGGTAGGAAACGACTGAACATCATTTAGAATAGATATTTAATGATTTGGCTAGTGATCCGGGTTCATCCGAGTAATACAGTACGTTTTAACGAAGTAAAACTTACATAAGAAGACTTAAATTTTCGATGTTAATGTTAGTAAACTGGTTGTACAATGTTTCATCTCTCAGGTGTCAGATCATGGAGCTAAAAAAAGTTTACATTTTCGTTTGAAATAGTCCCAAAATATATATTGGGACTTTTCAATATCAATGTTGGTAAACTGGTTGTACAGTGTTTCATCGCTCAGGTGTGACATCATGGAGCTAGAAAAGGTCAATAAACTTTAAAAAAAGTATGTACATGCTGCTATTCAGAAAAAAAAGACTAGGGTCAGCAGGTTTTTTTAAGGTCTGCAGAGAAACAGGAAACGCAACATTTTTTCTAGGCCTTACCATAGTCCTAAACTCGTATTGTACAAATTTTTGGTAGTTTTTTTTTTTCAGTGCTTGCCATATGCATACTAGGTAGTTATGCTTTCCATTCTTTTCCTGTCATTTCGTTGAATTGATTCAATTTCTTCCTCGAATGACCTGAAATTTGGTGTGAAGGTCGAAACTCCTTTTATACACTGTCAGACTTTTATAACACAGCCGTAGATATTCTTAACCATATGTCACCAAAGTAGGATTTCTCTAATAAGTTAAAAACTTCCAAGTAAACTTTTGTTATACCTACTGTAATGAAAAGAAAAGAGAACGAATTAAAATCTTTCACACGCACGATTTGTGGTTTAGTTGTTTATTTGTTTTATTTTATTTGTTTGCCTTAAAAATCGTTTTAAGCATGATTGTAACTGCATATAAATATGTAAAAGGTCAGGACGTCGCTTCAATTACGGTGTGGTATACGATACAATGTTAAAATTATTTGTTATATTTTAATATAGCATGGGAAATTATAACAGTCAAGTGTATACAGAAAAAAATGCTTTATGTGACTTGTTAAAATCGTCAGATTTGAAGCCAATCTACTTGAACCTAAGCTGTGTGTTTTTTTAAGAATTGTGGATCAGTTGTAAATGTTGCAAATTTGAATCGCTGTTATACAACCTTCATAAATCGAAAGCGTCAAATTTTGCAGCTATGATTTGCACAATTCAACAGTGTCAACAAACACATTTCCTACGTTAAAATTTCTTTACACACTAAACTGATACACACTCTTTCATCAGAAAAATATATATATATAGCTGTGTCTTTCAAGATGATCTATTAGTAAATATATGATGACAGCATTAGCAAGTTAATTCCAAAACTACAAAGGGGACCCCAGAAAGTGCAAAATGGAACGAAATAGAACGAAAAGAATACCATCAAACTTAACGTTGCCGTTAGGACGTCGAACGGACACTAACGTCACCGTTCCAAAGTACTTCATACATATTTCGTTTCATTTCGTCCCATTTCGTTCCATTTCGCACTTTCTGTACACCGCTACAAAGGCTAATTAAGATGGATCTTGGTCCGAGGTTTACCTCAACACGAGGTTTACATCATCTCATGCTTTGTTCTTGAGCATAGCAAAGCATGCTGCATTTGTAACTATGGCAATGAGGATAGGGATAAGGATGGCATTTTGCAGTGCCATGACAGCCCTGGCCGCCCACATGACCCTCCCAACCGCTCCGCTCAGGACCATCCCTATCTCCATGACAACAGCCCCAAATTCGTCCCCTTCATCCGCCATGTCCTGTAGGTAGCTCATGTGTCGGGCCCAGGGCAGAGCGAAGGTCTGGAAACATACAGAGTAAAATGATTGACTTACAAATAGTTATTTGTTGTGATTGGAATTGCTTTTACGATTATTTAAAAGACTATGATTATTGTTTTGATAATTTGGTATAATTTAAAATAACTATGATTATTCTCATGGTTAATGACTTTTTATTTGTTTAAATTGTTTAAATTATTGTCATGACTAATGTTTGAAACATTATGATTATTGTGTAAGGGATGGTTCATTATATTGTATGCTGTTTTGGTATTATAAAAAATTAGAAAAACATACAGAGTGAAATAATTGAAACACACAGAGAGAAGATGTGAGAGACAGTATCTGAAAAATACCGAACTGCAAATTTTGAATAACTATGAAAGGGGTGCTAGGGTCAAGGAAATGAAAAAGAAACCTACGGTGAGTGTAGAAATCGCTATTTAGACAGTCTTGACATAATGAAAGATTTTATCGAACTTCTTTTATCTAATAACTTTAGTGACGTTTATTGTATTATATTCTAGATGTTGTAAATCTTAGTGAGACAATTTTTTTCAAGAAGTTAAAGATGAATGAATGAATGAATGAATGAATGAAAGAAAGACCTCTATTTTACACTTTCGCTCATTGCGAACTGAGTACAGGTCACGACAGAAAGCGATGGTAGACTAAAATATATCCATAGTAAAACTACACGTTTAAAAGGTTTTGCTTCTTCTCGCTTCTTAACACAGTTATAAATGTAAAAACAGATGGACTGACTTTTTTTCTTTCTATCTAAAATTCTAAAACTAGGGAAATAATCTTGTATACAATTGAAGAGAATCTTTCATTATTATATAGAGTACAGTCCACAATTAAATGACTCTCGTCTTCAATCTATGATGAATGTAATTAGTAGTTATGAATATAATGCATGTATGTTATGGGCGTAAGCAGACTCCAGGAAGGTTGTATTGTCAACACACTCAATGATGATTCTTTAATTAAGAAACAAACAAACAAACAAACAAACAGACCGACCTTGACAATGGCTGTAGCAGTCCCGGACCGTTGCATGAGCCAGACGATGGGGTTGGCCAGGGTGTGGTAACCTTCCATCACGTGTGGGTAGTCTGCAGCCAGCTGGCGACCAAAGGCGGCATCAGCCAGGTAGGTCTGGGCGTCCAGATGACCTGTGGGGTCAAATACGATGTCATGTTTTATCTTCGATATCTGAATTGAAAAACAATACATGACTGGAGATTGCAGCAGAGGTTCCTTTTTCTAAAATGTTGCAACGTTTTGTGATTTTGTGACATGCCAGTGGCTCCGTGTACGGGGGAGCTTCATGCCCAAGCCCCAGGTGCCAAAACCCTGTAAAAGAGCCCAACAAACTTATGGAGAAGATTAGATAAGACGAGCTCGGCTATAAAAGCAGGGCGCAAAAAAATTATTTGACTTTGTTTTAAGCATCATTACGCTCTAATATCGACGAAACAAGAACTTTTTGTTGCAATTTGCTGCTGCCAGTGGAAATATATTTCACAACAAGACAAAGCTTAAACGTATATATTTTGTAGCCTCTACCAGGCTTGAGGAGGCGGCTGGAAAGAGTAGAAATCGGCCAAAATAGAGAGATAAGCATGCCAAGGGAGTTTGGCCGTTGAGAGAACAGTTCGCCGCCCCACAAGCCTGTCGGTAGTCGCCATGATCAAACGGCATAAAAGTAATCCCACCATTAATCCAACAAAAGAACTATCTCAGCGCAGAAGATCATTTAAGCAATAAACTAACCAACGCGTCGTGGGGAGCCGCGCCCATGTGTATACGTCTGGAGAAGACAGCCGGTCAGTACTATGGTTAAACAAACTGTATATTGTCGGGAATGAAAAAAATCAAACTACTATAGTTATACTGATATTGGAAATAATATTAGTTAACACGGATTATTCCCGGCTGCACCGCACGGAAATTTTTAAGTGTGCCGGGTGCGGCGCGGCCATTGTACCACGGCGCGGCCATTGTACCCCATGCCGCTAGCGAGAGGGAAGCATGCGGCCAGAAAACGGGGTCTCATGCTACTTATCCACCAATATCTTGATCTGCAACATGGTCGGGAAGGTCTTGAATATTATAGGGTTCTCTTTTCTAGGAGTTTTGTGTTTCTTTTTATGGGAAAATGTACCGCTATGGACTTGAAATTTTCCTGACCTCTCTGAGACTTCACACAGCCGTTCGTGTCACTGTCCGTCACGGCCCAGTCGCAAAGCAATAAAAGGGCAATTTAGCTACTTGGCACCTATAAGATAGCGATTAGTGGACTTCAAAGAAATGGCGTCTACCGACAGGCTTGTGGGGCGGCGAACTGTTCTCTCAACGGCCAAACTCCCTTGGCATGCTTATCTCTCTATTTTGGCCGATTTCTACTCTTTCCAGCCGCCTCCTCAAGCCTGGTAGAGGCTATATATTTTGTATAAGAAAATATAAACAACTTTAAGAATACATAAGAATATATTTAAAAAAAAACTCTTACCTTGGGCAAAAAGTTCTGTGCAAATGACCGTGTTCCTGAGAAACATGGCGGCTTCACCAACACTAAGTGCAATAGCATTACCGCAGGCTCCTCCAATACTGAGCGTGCAAGGCGTGATGCAAGCAATCGCACCTGCAGCTGTATACCCAAAAAAAAAATGAATGACTGAAGACATTTATTAAAAAAAGTGCCCACTTGGTTATGTACAAAAGAGTTTCTTCTGAAGACATACAAATATATACATGATTAAGCTAGCATTAACGCTATAACCTACGTAAATTCGAATTCCCTTTGTTTCTCTATGATGGTGAAAATATAAGAGCATACATGTTTAAGAATTATGGGTTTTTCTAAGTTCATTAGAAAAATTGTAAATTTGTCGGAAACATCTATGTTATTAATCTATAAAGCTCAATTCTCTCACAAATGTAGACTAATAATTCTATAATACACAAAACATAATCACTACCAAACAATGCTAGGAGCATACTTTGCAATATCAAAATGCACGTAGAACTTGACATGTATATAGGGATAGCGCTAGTTATATTTAAACAGTGATTTATACAGCAACTT